CTCTCTCTCTCTCTCTCTCTCTCTCTCTCTCTCTCTCTCTCTCTCTCTCACACACACACACACACACACACACACACACACACGTGGGTGATGTTACATTGGGAAGCTCAAACTCTACAGGGTATTCCTGTAGAATCAGTGCTAATAAAATTCAAGAATGCTAATTTAAGGCAGATACTTAGGCTACTAAAAAGGTCTAACATTGGTAAAAAGAGGTATAGATGTTACTCTTGTAGCTTTTTACTCTGAAATTCAATGGCATTAAGATCAACCACTGGGCTGGATTGAAGGCCTGCTGAAAAGCAGTCTGGAATGTGCTAGATTTCTTGGCTCCTGCCTCTGACTGAAGCGTTAACTGTACCAGTTTAGTTGGCTCGGGTACTCTGAGAACAGAATGACTTTGAAAGTTTTTCTTTTCCAACCGTTTTCATCGAGATGTTCAGTGCCTGTTCAAACAAATTTTGGAATTTTTTCAAAACAGATTCTCTTTAAAAATATACAATTCAGCATATTTTCAGTGAATTATTAGAAACACATGTCTAAAGCTTCATTTGAGAAAGTAAAAATATATTTTTAACGTGAACTTTAGTCGGATCTTAGCACACTTTGAAAATGAAGAATACTACACAGAGGCCAATGCCCAGCATAAAAGGACTAGACCTCTCTCCTTTGAACACTTTCATCTGATTGGCCAAATGTCACTTGTATTTGACACAGAGTTCATCTGGACCCACTGAAAACAAAGAGGGCGTATTTGTGTCTCCTTGAAAATATACATGGTTATGCCAAAGAAAAAAATATTTTAATACTGAGCAAAATTTACAAAATATTTAAAAGTGTGACTCAGTTCTCATGCGTTCATTTAGTATACTTATAAACCAAGAAACCTCACTCTTACTAACACCTTTTGAAGAATTCTACTCCTTAAATTCCTTAAAATCTTTTGGGTTTTCAATCTGCCTCCACCCTCCTACTGCCTAGCCGTGCTTCTGCGAGGTTAAGCAACAGCTCTGTGACTCATGGGAAGGCGAGTACCCAGTATGAAAATCTTGATTTTGAAACTGTCCGTGTATTCACATCCCTATGAAGCTGAGAAATTCCAACACCTGACAGACAGGTTGGGGTAATTTGTTAAAAAAAAAAAGACAAGGCAATCAAATATTCCAAAATGTTACACAAATAAATTTTCAAATAATGAATCCACTGTACTTGCTTCTATCTGCCTGGTGAAACCAAACTATGTTTACTAGACAGTTTTCATCTAGAGCGTCCTCTGTTCCTAGGACTGACAGTGAGCACTGGCCGCCCAGCACTCTCCTCACGTCCTCTGAAGCCCAGACAACGTAATCTCTCACAAAACCCTGCTCTACAATCCAGCTTTAAACACAGCCGCAAAGGCCGAGCCTATATAAGTTTCTTCTCTATTCTGGCTAGCTTATTGGTTTTAGTTTTCAAATTTATTGAAAAAATATTATTTAAGTTCCAACCAAGTATTAAGTGTTTGTGTAAGATATTAAATAATGAGTAAAACACAGATTCCCCAAGGACTGTACAGTAACCAACTGCAGAGATATATAAATAAGCGATTTAGACCCAGAGAATAAATCCAAGTTCACATGCAATGGCAGGAGCAAGGCAATGAGGAGGACTGCGTGACGCCTGGTCTCTGTGGGGAACGAGGTAAGGGACACAGCAGAGGGAACTAAGTCATCTGGTAGACATCTGAGGAAGTTATAGGTGAGCTGAATCTTAAAGTTTGAAATAAAGGAGTAAACCAGACATGCGCAATAGGGGAAAACAGTGCTTCAAGGAATGGAGGATGAGGGATGGAACGCACATGCCCAGCATCTGTAAGGCCTTGGTTTATTCTCTGCACAAACACACACACACACACACACACACACACACACACACACACACAGAGCAAAAGAGACACAGAGAGAGACACACAGAGAGAAAAAGAGAAAGAGAGCAGAACCAAAAGGAAAAAGTATGAAGATATATTTAAAAACACATGTGATGCCCATCAAAATCCCAGCAAAATTCTTCAAAGACTTTGAAAGAACGGTACTCAGCTTCATTTGGAAAAGCAAAAAACCCAGGATAGCCAAAACAATCCTGTGCAATAAAAGAACTTCTTGAGGCATCACAATCCCTGACTTCAAACTCTACTACAGAGCTACAGTACTGAAAACAGCCTGGTACTGGCATAAGAACAGACAGGAGGACCAATAGAACGGAATAGAAGACCCAGATATCAATCCACACATCTTCGAACACCTGATCTTTGATAACGAAGCAAAAACTATCAAATGGAAAAAAGAAAGCATATTTAACAAGTGGTGCTGGCATAACTGGATATCAACATGTAGAAAAATGAAAATAGACCCATATCTATCACCATGCACAAAACTCAAGTCCAAATGGATCAAAGACCTCAACATAAAGCCAGCCACACCAAACCTCATAGAAGAGAAAGTGGGAAGTACACTTGAACGCATTGGCACAGGGAACCACTTCCTAAACATAACCCCAGCAGCACAGACACTGAGAGAAACAATAATAAATGGGACCTCCTGAAACTGAAAAGCTTCTGTAAAGCAAAGGACATGGTCAACAAGACACAACAGCCTACAGAATGGGAAAAGATCTTCACAAACCCCACATCAGACAGAGGTCTGATATCCAAAATATACAAAGAACTCAAGAAATTGGACACCAAAAGATCACATAATCCAATAAAAAAAAAATGGAGCACAGACCTAAACAGAGAACTCTCAACAGAGGGATCTAAAATGGCTGAAAGACACTTAAGGAAACGTTCAACATCCTTAGTCATCAGAGAAATGTGAATCAAAACAACTCTGAGATTTCATCTTACACCTGAAAGAATGGCCAAGATCAAAAACACTGATGACAACTTATGCTGGAGAGGCTGTGGGGAAAAGGGAACACTTCTGCATTGTTGGTGAGAATGCAAGGTGGTACAACCCCTTTGGAAGTCAGTGTGGCGATTTCTCAGAAAATTAGGAAACAACCTTCCTCAAGACACAGTAATACCACTTTTGGGTATATACCCAAAGGATGCTCAATCATGCCACAAGGACATGTGCTCAACTATGTTCACAGCAGCTTTGTTTGTCATAGCCAGAACCTGGAAACAAC